CACATAACATGCATGCAGCGTAAACAAAATGAGGCGATGTAACGAGTTAGATTTACTCGGTGGTGTTCGATCACTGTTGTTACGTTTCGTCAAGGAATATGTATTGTTAACGAAGGAACAGCTAGCATTAGCTGAAGGGCTATTTGCTTTCCACACCATAATCCACAATCAAAGTTTCAGATCACTTGACTGTACATCGCAAATGATCAAAACATTGTACGACAAAAAAATTACATGTGCAAGGACAAAAACCGAAGCAATTATTTGTAATGTTTTTTCACTATATTCGCTTTTACAATTGCAGAAAGAATTAGATAAATGCACATTTATATCCATATATTATGATGCTTCCAACCACAAAGATTTAAAATTATTTCCCACAATTGTTAGACTTTTTGATCCAGAAACAGGGATTAAAATTAGAATATTAAATTTTGTTTCATTGCCGGGTGAAACTTCACAAATAATTTTTGATTCATTAAGTACTATTTAAAAAAAGAATAATTTGAACCATAAAATTATTGCCTATTGTGCGGATAACACTAACTCAAATTTTGCGCAAAAGCTAGAATAAGCATCAGTAACGTTTTTACGAAACTTAATGAACATTTGAACCAAAAAATTATTGGAGTAGGTTGTGCAGCACACATTCTACACAGTAGTATTCAAACAGCATCTGACTTACTTCCAGTGGATTTTGAAAATATTATTGCAAAAATTTATTCATATTTATATATATATACTGTGCCTGTTGAAAGTTTGAAGGATTTTTGTGAAAGCGCAGAAATCGAATATAAAAGATTTGGTTGACACTAAAAAAGGAGATTTTATGGGAATATGTGGAAAATCTTTTGGTTATCTTTACAATATGGTAACTGGTAGTTTGGCGACATTTTGGAGGCGATAAGGTTACTACCTGGGATTTGTAATATGTGAGCAGTACTCAGTTCCGATTACGCATTATTTGTGTGAGGGAAATGAGAGATCATGGGATATGTCATGTGATATTTAATGGACGAATTACGTTCTTTAATCGGAAAAGGGGGAAATCGGGAAAAAATCTGGAAATTTTGTATTTGGTTTATTCTGTGTTGTGTGAAACAGTGTTCGTGAATTTTTTGGATCCCATGGCCGTAACTAAAGAAAAGTTTATCGGACACGTAATCAAGATTCTGAAGAAGATTAGGTAAGTTAGTATTTTTAATTATTTGAGGATATTATTTTTATGCATTGTTCTAAATGTAAGGTGGAAGTAAAGAATTTGGTATTATTGGGAAAATTGTTATTAGCAATGATTTTTAAGTATTAGGATTGTAAGGTAATTTTATTATTTTAATGTATGTGCTCATTTATATTTTAAGTAGTGTTTTTGAATTTAATTATATTTTAATTAAATGATAGTTATTTTGTGAATTTTATGTTTGTAGGAATTTGGTATACGTTTAAGTTGAAGTAAACGTGCGTGGAAATAATTTAAATATTTGATACTAAGTATTTGTAATGCTTGCGGTATGAATTCGTTGGTGACGTGTATAATGTAATAGATGATTTAGAAGTAAAAGTTTTTGGATATTTTATTTATTTTATATGTGGAAATGTTCATATTTGGAAAGGGTAAATACTTTTTCGCGATCAGGTAATTTCATATATGTTCTTTTTACCGGGTTTAAAGATTGAGAAAATTGTCATGTATTTTCGTGAAATTTTTTTACTAATTTATGAGAAAAAAGCAGTGTACATGGATATAGTAAAGAGTGTGCGCAATGCCATTTTTGTGCAATTCTGGGATGTTTTTTAAGTAAAAATAAGTCGACGTGTACATGGTTTAGTGATATTTTAATTAAATGATAGTTATTTTGTGAATTTTATGTTTGTAGGAATTTGGTATACGTTTAAGTTGAAGTAAACGTGCATGGAAATAATTTAAATATTTGATACTAAGTATTTGTAATGCTTGCGGTATGAATTCGTTGGTGACGTGTATAATGTAATAGATGATTTAGAGGTAAAGTTTTTGGATATTTTATTTATTTTATATGTGGAAATGTTCATATTTGGAAAGGGTAAATACTTTTTCGCGATCAGGTAATTTCAAATATGTTCTTTTTACCAGGTTTAAAGATTGAGAAAATTGTCATGTATTTTCGTGAAATTTTTCTGATTTATGAGAAAAAAGCAGTGTACATGGATATAGTGAAGAGTGTGCACAATGCCATTTTTGTGCAATTCTGGGATGTTTTTTTAAGTAAAAATAAGTCGGCGTGTACATGGTTTATGTGTATGTGCGATTTTGAAAAACGTGGCAAGAAGTTATGCGTATTGTGCACTTTTTCCCAATCTTGCAGTTGAATAGTTGTCATGATTAAGCAGTTTTGTTCCAGATAAAATTTCTAGCATAAGTGTAATTCGGCTAGTAGATTGTTGGAAGAAGTGTTCAGTAGATAAAAAGAAAAGAAACATGTCTTTACTTTGTGAAGACAAAATGGCGGCGGGAAAAAAAATAGAGGGTTGCTGTAGGAGAGTTGGTCGTCAAATTTTCGCCAAAAAAACGCCAAGTTACCATAATGTAAAGATCAACCAATCTTTTTAATATATTAGTAACCATTTTCCGAAAAATAATATTTGCGAAAATGATCTTTTTGATGAGGTATCATTGGTAAAAAGATATGTTAAAGAAGAAAAAATTAAATGTTGGTTGTCTGCAAATGTGGAAACAGACAAAAAATGGATGGACTTATTCCTTCATTTTAAACAGGATAATATTCCTTATGAAAATATTTTGAAAATTGTAGAACATGCACTCTTCCTTCCAGGAACAAATTCAGCAACAGAATGTGTTTTTTGTAGTAGAATAAAATATGGACAATTGCAAAAATGCACTTGAACATTAAAACTTTAAAATCTGTATTAAGGGTAAAATATAATTTGACCAACTCATGTAAGAAATTTCACGACATTTTAATAAATGATCCGAATTGACTTCGACTTGCTATTTTGGCTTGTGTAGCGGTGATTTTTACCCAAAAACCGCCGCTACACAAAACCAAAATAACAAGACAAAGAATTGCACAAACTCGGGATCCATGTACATATCGACCTATTTTCATTTAAAAAAAAAATCATCCCAGAATTGCACAAAAATGCCATTTTGCACTCCCTTGACTTTATCCATGTACACATCGACGTATTTTCACTTAAACAAACATCAGAGATTTGCACAAACTAGGCTTTGCGCACTCCCTTTGCCCATGTATACATTGATATACTTTCACTTAAAACATCAAAGGAGCAGCCAATTCTACAGTAGAGGCAAACAAAAAATACATAATCTAAATAAACTACATTTTAAACCAAACAATAAAATAACATAAAAAGGAAAAACCTGTTATGTATTTAAGCACTACACAAAGCAAATATACACATACCTTATTTAGAAATTCGTTCGTCTTCAGTCTGTGGCACACAAAATTCTTTAACAGCATCCAAAAACTTCCTAAAATTATCTGAACTAGAATCCGTATATCGGCGTTGCCACATAAATTCACAAAAATAAGAGTAAAAAATATCCTACGTAGTTGTGGACTGTCCAGAAAATGGCTATAAGTAAACCTTCATTTACACACCAGTCAATTAATGCACTTTTCCCTTTCATTCTAAATAGTACAGAAACTTCAAATTAATCTTACTACATTCAGCCATTCTACCGTTTAAACAATGAAACAAGCAATGTACTTCCTAACCAACACACATCACAAAAGCCCTTACAAAACATCCCATGATTCAAAATTTCACCGAATAATGCAAACAATTACGTCATAATAGGGTTTCTATAATATTCAACTACTCAGGTTGCCATAAATGAAACAACAACTTCGCGATAATACAAGGAGTACTCGAAAGTCAACTCGGTTCATCTTTGGATTATGGTAACTTAACGATTTTTTGACGAAAATTTGGCAACCAACCCTGCTACAGCAACCTGCTAGTTTTGTTTTGGACGCCATTTTGTTTTCACAAAGTAAAGGCATTTTTTTTTTTTTTTTTACTCAACATTTTTTCCAACAATCTGCTAGCCGAATTACGCTTCTACTAGAACTTTTATGGAACAAAAATGCTTAATCATGACGAAGATTAGGTGTGAAATTGGGAGAAAGTGCAGAATCGCAAACTGCTTGCCGCGTTTTTAAGAATTGCACATGCACGGTATCATCCATGTACACGTCAACCTATTTTCCCTTAAAAAACATGGTACTTGCATATTATCGCAACCAGGTTGACGCTATTTGTAAGTTTTGACGCTATTTGTAAGTTTGAGTAAAAAAGTATGAATAGAAAGAAAATGTACATTTATTAATTACAGATAATTTTTAATACAGTTTTTTATATTATTTTCTTTTAAAATATAAAATAGCAATTAAACCCTTCCAGTTTCGAATTTGAATAAGTTGCAGAATTATTTTTTCGGTGGAAATCTTTTGGCTTTTTCTTTTAGCACTGATTAAAAACCGTATTCGCCATAACCATGTACACGTCGACTTATTTTTACTTAAAAAAACATCCCAGAATTGCACAAAAATGGTATTGCGCACACTCTTCACTTTATCCATGTACGCTGCTATTTTCTCATAAATTACAAAAATTTGCACAAAAATGCAGGAAAATTTTGTGAATCTCCACATGCTCTTTTTACAAAACTACGTATAACACGTAGGGTTGCCAAATTTCGCAATTTATGCCAATTTGACCTGGTTGCGATAATACGTAAGTACCAAAAACATCCCAGAATTGCACGAAAATGGCATTGCACACACTCTTGACTTTATCCATGTATACTACTAAAGTCCTAGCTAGTAACTTTTATCGCCTTACCAAAATATCGCCAAACTACCTGTTACCATATTCCAAAGATTAGCCATCAACTCTAACCCTGTTTCTTCCTTTCTAACCCAAGCACAGAAGCTGAATTATCAGCAGAAAGGAATCAATACAGACATTAATCCATGGAGGTAAGAAAGGAAGGAGGGGCCAACTCCGCATTATGAGTGAAGCATTGCACCGAGGCTTCAGTCTCCAGACGGGGTGTTTTTTTATTTTCATTTAGAAGCTCCCTTGACAGCGCTCTGATAGTATTTCAACACATGAAAGTTTCATACAAATCGAAAAGTGGTACATTTCCATGTAAAAGAAACATACATTGTGTGATGGATAATAGCAATTTGTGTAGTTTAGTGACATTTATGCAAAAATCACATCTTTGTTATTTTTCGATAATAACAACAGCACTTTTGATTATGAATTTGTTTTATAAAATTCTAATTGTTGAACTGCAAAAATATAGATTTTAGCAAAAATGTTATGCTTAAAGAATGAAAAATACTGTACTGTATTTTTAAAATTGTATATGTCTTTCGAAAGCCTTGATAAAGTATTCACTACTTTTATTTTATGTTTCAAATGCCAAAATGTTTTAAATCAAATAAATCTAATTATGAAATGAATCTAAATTTATAGTGATTATAAGTATTACCTAAATATATAATAACCTTAACAGTGAATTGCAAACATAAATTGAAATCCTGTTGACAACTACATTTATAAAACTATTTAAGCAAGAATTGTTCCTATTGGAAAGCAATCTGTTAAAAGGTATTGTAAAGCGAATTCTATGAGTTGCATATTTAAGGAAGTAATAAAGAAGGGTTTTAGAATATGTATTGCTGAAATTAAGGGTAAAATAAATCTGATAAGTATAATTAACAGAATTATTCCCTTACATTTTATAATAACTCAGTTAAAAGCTTTAAATAATACTATTTAAAACAATCCTTTTCTTATTCCCTTTCACAAATATTCTGAAAAAGTTAAGTACAAGGAAAGGAGCACCAATATTTAACATATTTCACTATTAAAATAAAAGGTGCTCTAATTTGAAATGTATCGAATAGAGCATTAATTATAAATTGACTTGGATTTTTTTATTTAAAAGATGCATCAGAAGCTTAAAAATCATGTAGTATTTGAAAAGTATTTTAGGAAGACGCTCTATAAATAGAAAAGAAATATACTTTGATCTTAATTTTTGTAATCCTTAACCAAATAAAATCGAATTACCTTAAGAATTTTTTCTAATGTAATTAACGAAAACTTGTGAAAGTATTTCATTTAAATTAAATCGTTCTGAGTAAACTGTTCTATGAAAAGTATAGCATTTAATTCCATTCAGAATGAAATGTTTAAAATTGTATACTTTTTACATACTTAAAACTCTGAAACATTGTAGAAGAAGAAAATACATACATTTATATGTTTCATAAGGAAAAATAATAAATTAAATTTAAATAATTCCCTTGCACCATTGCTGCAAGGAATGAAATTTGAATTTAACAAACATTTTCTATTCGTACAAAGCAAATTTAAAGTTAATTAAAATTAAAATTTTAAATTGTGAAATTTTAATTGCAAACAAATAATTAAATATTGCTACTAATCTACAGTATCATTTAAATTCTGAGAGCATATGTAAATTAAGTGCAAATATCAAAATACATGAATAAGTATATAATATCCCCTAAAATAATTTAATCCTAAATAAATTTTAAGACTAAATAATTTGCATAGTGAATAATTGTTGAGCAGGCAGGAGACATATCTTATCAAGAGGAAGTTGCCTCCAAACCTAACTCTTCAATTACTCAATTCGTGTTTCATCATCCATATAGGCTTGGGTATAGTAATTTAAAACCAAAAGAAAATCAAATGTAGTGAATTACTAAAAAATTTTTAAAAAGGGAATTTTGAGAAATTTAGAAAACAAATGAGAAATTTAGAAAGCAAATTGACAAAGAATCAAAATAATTAAAATTGGCAATGTAAAAAGAGTAGAGAATCAAAGTTTTCTAGAAACCCAAAGTAGTTTAGAAACCTTTGTCTATTTGGAAACTTCCCGGATACAAATTATGCATGTAAATCAAAAATAAGAATAGAAGATGTTTGTTAAAAACATTTATATGTATATTTATGACGTAATTACTAAATATTTACATCCGATTATGCCAAAATCCATTGATCATTGTAAATCACTGAGTGGGTAACCACGAAAGGATCACGAGTTCTTCAAAGCAGTGCATGGGGAAAACTGGTTAGGGCCTTTCCCTTATATCTATCCTACCTCAATGCGTTAATCACAACATTATTCTAATACAGCAATAAAGAAAATAAATACAAGAAAATGTCATGGAAGTATTTGTCTCATATTCATTAATTATGATATCTAATAGTGCTTCAAGAATTCTTTTTATCCATCTATCTAAATATATAAAATACAAACAACAGAATGTACAAAGTATTGCCTTTTTTTCCTGTTATTATTACTGAAGTATTAGTTATTTCCTTAGTTTCACAGATAGGCAAGCTGTTATTGTATTTTAATCACGTTTCTATGGGCCTATGCTAAAAAGAAAAAAACATTTTTGTGTTTAGATATAGTATTGTCTGCTTTTTAGTCATTGTCCCTTAATACTGGCATGCACTTATATTCTTTTAATAGTTCGACCTCATCATCCACGGCCATTAACGCAAACACATGTGCGCCATTCAGACCGAATAATTCTCAAAATAGGATGGACAGATGGGGATTTTCTTTCCCTTGAGCATATAAATTCTCTTTTTCTCAAGGTCTTCACATAACTTTTCATGTCGCAGTGAGTAGTAATAACACTCCTTTTGAATGAGTCTGTGTTTTGGCAGAATATCAGTGAAGGTTGCATGCCAAACTATATTACAGTAATACTTAGTATGCTTACTTGTTGATTGCTTTTTGCCCATTGTGCCATGTATTAGTCATCAGAGACATTGCAATTCTAGAAAGACCAGAAAGATTTAATAGGTCTCTGGATTGCTGTTCTGTTTATCTCAGATTACTTTTATAAAAGAGAAATCACAGATTGACCTATGAAATAAGAAATTAATGTCTTCCTTAATAGATTCTTGTCCCTTAAACTTTCCCACAACTCGGGAACTTTAAAAGACTACCAAATGTACTTTTTCTTTATGAAATTCTATGTTATTCCAAAAAGAATGTGTTTTCTTTTAAAAATTGAAACTTCTAGGTACAGACAAGTCATATGATCATATGCATAATTTGTGTATTTTTTCAAAAGGCAAATTGCTTTTTTAGACACATAATTTGGTATTTCACAACTTCATTGATAACAATAATAAGTTTTACCTGCTAGATCTACAGATATGTTCACTGTTTGAACATTTGCATTGTGTTCTTAAATTTTAAGAAACAATGTATAATTACTAAATCTGCATAGTGTTTAGTGTTGTTTGTTCATTTTTATTAATCAATTAATAGAAAGTTATGTTGACTAGTCTTTAGTTTTTGATGTAATTGTTCTCGCAAGTTAGAATTATTAAATCCATATGTTAACTACTTCTATAGCAAAGCTACTTTAAAAAAACAATTATCTGGTCATTTAGCATGATTTTTTCTTATGTTAATGCTCTAGAATTTTATGCTTAGTAATGAGTATTTTATCCAGAAGTTGCTCATGAATTCAAGGTAGGTGAAAGTATTTGCATGCATATTTAGTTTTACAGTTTTTATCAGCTTCAAGTGTTTTTAACATTTTAAAAGTAACATTTTATTATAATTTTTCATAATGTATATTACAGTTGAAGAAGACTGTGATTTTGAATCAGATATCCAAGTACAGAACTTTCGATATATTAGGTCCATTCGAAAAAAGAATTACTGCTATAGCATGGCATCCGGTGTATTCTCAGTTTGCAGTATCTGGTTCTAACAGAGGTGAATTATCACTTTACAATATAAACAGATCTACCTCAGAAATTTCTCCTTCAGTGAGTTAATGTTTTATTCATTTTGCTAATTCTTAATGTGTTTGTGAATAAATAATGAAAAATATGTATAAAACAAAAATATTATAGAAGATGTGGATATAATTTAAAATAGTTTTTCTGATTGAATAAATGAAAATTTTAGGTCCAATATTCTTTCTAAGATTTCTTGTTGCTTTAAAATTAAGGTAACCATTTTTTTATTAATAATAAGTTTGACGGAAGAGAAAATTACAAATTTGCATTATGTGGAAAGGATTATTAAATAGAATGAACCATTATTGGAACAAATAATTTATTTATTTACTATCCTTCCTTTGTACAACATGCACCAAAATTAAATTTGCGTTACACTGGAAGTTACAAATAAGTAATAAAAATACGAGATAAGCAGAATCCATGGTCATAGAGGAATGAAATCAGAATGAAGCATAGTGGAGTGCTTGGCTGCAAAGCTTAGTTATTCGGTTGAGCACTTAATTATCCATTGATGCTGTTGGAGTCTTCACTACTTTATGCAGAAACTTTTGTTCAGGATGAAACCATGACGTTTCAGTAGTCTTGGGAAACGCCTGTACTTCCTTGGTAACCATATAACATTGAAACACTTTCGTAAGCCCACAGAATGCTCACTCATGAAATGTAAATCATCATCTTGATGCAGCTGTACATCACCTAAGCTGGTTATACTTGATCTGTTCTCAGTGGTGTCATTTTTCATGTTCATGGCAAATAGAAATGAATACAAATTCCCAACAGATACGAAGGCTTCCTCAGGGACAAAATTCAAATGCATATAAAGGAATAAGTATATAAAGTATATAAAGGAAGGTGATTTAATGATTTTTGGATTATCAGATTTTTAAAGAAGTTATAGCAGGCTAACTGTCTCCTTATTTCTTTGAAGCAGTTTTTAGTTTAGGTAACATTCCTATTTAGGTAATGCTTAAGTAGACAGTTATATAAATATGTTTAAAGTGAGTCAAGCAAGTATCTACAAATAGCATCAATTATAAGCAGTACAAAGTCTGAGATTCGGACGTTCAGTATCCGGAATGCTCTAAAATCCAGACCTCAAAGCCACCAGCAACTTTTTTTTAAGGGGCTTTGTCCCTGAAGGACTATTGTTTTCATTTTGTGATTTTGCGTTGATTCACTATAAACAACGAATCACTTTTTAAACTTTTGCCACCAAACGTTAGAGTCCTGCATTATATTTGAAGAAATTAAATAATGAAAAATCTCCATAAATGTATGTATATTTCTTGCATTGTGATAAAATAACGGTACATAAAGCCATCAAATTTTGAATGACATAATCCTCCTACGAATATGGGCATTTGGAAGACCAAATTTGAAATTTGTTTTATTATCTATTTCATATTTTGTAAAACTTTAACGAATTTTTTAGTAACAAACTCAACGATTTAAAAGCGAGCAATGGCAAGGGGAGAGAAACCTTTTTAACTGCAGCATGAGGAACTGTGTATCGGAAATTCTAAAGATATGCTCATTTTAAAATTATTTTGCAATATTGCTGTTGAACTGAACTTTATGGTTTAAGTGCAAAGAACATGATATTTAGTAAATAAAGGTAACACACAAAACATTAAAAACGTGCCCCTTTGGATGTAATTTAAAATCTGTCAACCTTTCAGATTTTTTTTTGTATGCTTTACGCATGTGCATTTGATTCCTCCCCTTCCCTCCCCCCCGCACATAATAAAACGTGGAGTCCACATATTTTATTATGTGCGGGGTTCTTAATTCACTTCGGCACTAAATAAAATACCTTCTTATTGAAGATGCAATTATTTTAGCATAAATTTGTATGATCAGTAACTTGGCTCCATAGATGTGTATCTGCTTGGCATACATCTCAAACTCAGTGGTGTAGCTAGGATTCCAGCGCCCGAGGACAACTGAAGAATTTGCGCTCCTTTCTGTGTGCCAAGAATGGAAAACATTTCATTCTAAAATTCCGTACCATCAATTTGGCGCCGCCTGGATGCTGCGCCTGGGGACAGCTGTCCCCCCCCTTGCCCCACCCTAGCTACGCCACTGCTCAAACTGAAACATTCTATAGATAGAAATATAGATACATTGTTGATTTTATACCTACTAATATTTTATATCCGTGACGTCAACCTGGCAAATCATTTATTATATTTTGCTTTCATTGCATATGTTTATAAACACATGAGAACTTGAGTAATGACTCATGTAGCGATGCCTAAACAATTTTTTTATGTTAGTAATTGAATAATAAAGAGTATGGTAACCTTTTATGTTGACATTATTGCTTGGCGATGATAATATATTTAAATGTGCTAAAAAATGTTGGCAAGGAAAAATTTAATAAAAATTTCTTTCCGTATGCTAAAAATAGGTTTTGTTAATGATACTTCTAGGCCAAAAGATTACATTTAAAGCTTTTTGAATTAAGAATAACTGATTTGTTATTTACATAACCCCAGAATGAGCGCCAGGGCTCATATGGCCACAACTAGCAGCAGACTTAAGGGAACACACAAAGGGAGGCACTTGGTAGCAGAATTTAAGACCCACAGAGACTGCATCATGCGTTAAGGTATCTAGCACCAACTCTCAACAAGCCTTAAGTATATGTGGGAATTTATTTGTTCAAGACTCAGATAAGCATGTGCAAGAAATAGACATAAGTATAATAAACAACTAAACTAATACAACTGAGGCTTAATTGTCTCAGTGCACAATAGAAGCAAGATAAAATTTAGTGGAACAACTTGTCTTCAGTTGCCAATCTCATGATACATTGCGAAATATGTATAGTGAAATATGGCTAAATTTTATGATGATAGCCACAAATTTTAAAGGTTGTTTGGATGTTGCAAACTAAAGTTGAAATTTTCCAATAAACAAATTTTGCAAAGAAATGTGGAGAAGAGGTAATAAAAGATGATATAAAGAAGTTTTTCATTGTGATGACAATGCTCCTCAGTCATCAATCAATAAATGGATGGCTTAATCTGTAGTATGGTTGGTTCTAGATCCAGGAAATACCGCTAGTGATAATGAAGAAAGTGACAGGTTACTGAAAATGAAACTCTCGACATGGCAATTACAGGACTTCAATAATATAACTAAACAAGAAATTGCGTCTGTCTACAGAATTAAAGAGAAAATATAAGCACAAAATGCGAAGCAACTTAAACAACTTACATTGAAAGAAATGTTTAATAAAGTAAGCAATTAAATATTAAGCTTTTTTTTTATTGTAAATTTTGTTACCCTTTATATCATAAATGCTTCATTATTTCATAAATCAATCACAGTTTCATATTTTTAATTTTATAATTTCTACATGCCATCTTACTAGATTTAAACTGATGATCTAATATTCGAAAAAATCCCAAATCCGGAATTACAGAAGTCACGACAAGTCTGGATCTCAGACTTTGTACTGTATTACAAATAGACCTGCCAGAAAAAGGATAAAAATAACCTACAATAGAGCTTAATGTAATTAAAATATGCAGTGTACACAGTGAATTACATTCATAACTGTAAATAATTTCTGTTTTGAACATCAAACAGTGTTATTTTAATCAGCTGCTAATGTGTAAATGAGAGGAACAAAAATATATTATTTAGGGGCAAACAAAATAGAAGCTTTCTCAATATTCTGGCTTGATTCAAAATGTTTGGCTAGAACATCCTGTTTCTGGTTTCATGTATAATTACAACATTCCATGATCCCAAGAGATCATAAGATGTTGAAATTGTGCATACATCAAAACTTCTCTACATGTTGACAAACCCCGTAGAACATTAATTATGCGAGTTACCCCAAGAACAAACTTACATCAGTTATTTGAGTGTTAATATAATTATAATAACATAGATAATTCAAAATCCTTCTGGTCATGAGATCACAAATGTTCATTTAAATGCAATATCATCTGAGAAAGCTTGAGAATTATTGTTGGAAATGTGAAAAGAATACATCTTATACTGTAATTCATCAAGTGATGCACTAAAAACACTTGCTGATATGCCCATTTGCATAGTGAGGGACTGAACACTGCTGTGAGATGACTTCCACCCAAGACCAAGTTTTTCAGAGTTGAGATACTACCTCAGCCAATGATAGCTGCATCTTTTTGTATTGAATTCAAAGCAAAGAGGATAGTAAGAGACTGTTATATTTTGGTACTTATATATTAACACAACCACCTTGGTGATTTTTTATAGGTGAAAGGTAAAACATACTTATTGGGTGCAAATTGTTGGTTTTCAGGGTTTTTTTTTATTCCCAAAGTATCAATATATTTGTAAGTTAGCAGACATTATCAGCATATGAAAAGCAGGAAACATAATTTAGTAATTTAAACTACGAAATTTTAGTTATTATATAAGCATTACATGATATAAAAAATAAAACATTTACATTTTTTCCAAATCTTTTTGTAATTTTTTATATTATTCTTCTCTCAAGTAGACATTAGTTCTGCCTCCTAAGTAGACAGAGATCTGCGTTTAAAAAAAAAATCAGAGAATTGCAGAGATATGGCATCAAGCAAACTCCAGTAACTTTGGCTGTGTACCAAACGCATCTCCTCGTTGTTCCCTTCAGAGATTTTGTCTCAAAATTCTGTATTCCTTTGTTGTAGAAATTTAATCAAAGTTTCTTCCATTGCTGGTGCAAATGCATATTTTAAAATTAAGTTTAAGGCATAAAATATCGCAATTTATAAAAGCCATCTCACTACAACAAAAAGAATGCATACAAAAAAGGCAACATTGCTTGACTGAAGAATTGTTATTTGTCTGGTTGTTAGAGTTTGGCACATTCTATAAATTTGCAAAGTTCTACAAAGAGGTTTGCAATAACTTATTTCTTCAGTCCTTATTTTTTGTCTAGTCTCTTCTTTTCTTTTATGGCCTTATTGGTTCAGTCCATGAGCATTCTAAAAGTCTGATACAGTTAATGAGGTATTTTAATGTAATTTTGTTAGATGCCTATTCATTTAATTTTTATTAATCACTTAGTGAAGTTTAATACTGGGTATTTAATGATTATTTAATATAAATAACAAAATTTTGATGTACTTTCTAATGATTTAAGAAAAAATGCAAAATATTTATTTTGGCAGTTCTTTATATATTTTAATCTAAGGGTATCAGCTAATGTATATTTAATGTACATTAGTTTAGTATGTTGATTTTGATTATATGTACATTTTCTAAACATTGTTATTGTTTTTAGATTAATATCAAAGGCTCAGTTTTAGGATTGAAATTCAGTTCTAATGATCCTTCTGTTGTGTTTGTTGCATCGTTTTCTGGTGGTTTACGACAGCAAGACTTCAGTGGCCAAACTACAACAATTTTTACCAAAGTTAAATGGTAATTGAAATATTTATTTTCCCCTTTAAGCTATTAAAAATGAAATGATATTAATTTCATATAATTTTTTCTTTCTGCTTTCAAATTTCATACTAAAATTAATTAAACTTTATTTAGGGGCTGGTTTAATTCCCTTGATGTGTCATATCGTAAAACACTCATATTAGCTGGTGATTCTAGTGGTCGTGGTCACTTGCTTACTACACAAGGCTTTAAAGTAAGACTTAATGCTAATTGACTATACTGGAAAATCAGAAAGTAACATCAAAATTTTTGCATTGTGAAGACATTTTTTCAAGTTTTATGAGCTTCCATTGTGATAAAAAATTAGACACAGTAAACCTTTGCCGAGCTTGGGGGCTTACATCATTATGTGCACAGCAAAATCGCAAATTATGTTTTGGAAGGTTAACTTTCAATGGAAAAAAAAAACGAGTTAGGTATAGTTCAATCTAAGAAAGTATGTATAATTTATGCAAACTTAAATATTATTTGTAAATAAAAGGAAAAAATGAAACAAATGTTAATTGACTTAGCAAAAACATGCTGAGCACATTATTGAAGCCAAAAATAGTCTTCCAATTCTCAAGAGGATAGATATCTGGTGTTAAATGGGGCTGTGGCAGAGACACCTTAAATTTAACTTGTAAACTGTATATCCACACAGTCTTAAATTATTGCATTGATGTGCTTGCCTCTGCTTCTGCTAAGCTGATAAGGCTTTTGGAGGCCTTTCAAAAACCAAGCTGTAAGAATCATTACTGGTGCAATTAAAACTATCCCTGGTGTTGGCCTTACAATTTTTTTGCCAAAACTGAGCCCATGATAATTGTGATGCAAAGAAGGGCTGCTGTTCTATATTATAAGCTAGTTAGGCTCGCAAACGATGCCATTTGGCATGACTATGATTTTAATTCATAATGCAATATGAAGCCTCAGAGAGATTTTATATAATGTGTCCATGATATTAAACATCACCAAATTATTAATGACTTGCCGATTGAGTTGCTTATTCCTCTCCGCCCATTTCATTACATGGATCTCGATATAAGGTTAAATCTAACTCAGAAAATTAGAAAATCAGATCTTCCTCTCAAGCCCTTATGGGCTATCATTTTGGAAACCATCCCAATAACTGATTACATGTGTATACTGATGGTTCACTTTCTGATTTTTTCACAAGTTGCCAGAGCTGGCATCTTGAGTGAACTTTTTTTTGTTTTCGCCTTTTGGTTGGAAATTTCATGACTCACTTTGATGGAGAGATGGAGTCTATTCTTCTTATATCAGTTGAACAACATTTTATATAAAAACACTTCTTTTAAAAAGCTGTTATCGTTTCCGATTCTGTTTCTGTACTACAGGCTCTTTCTTCTAATGAAGAGATTGAGAAGGATGCAGGACTTTGCTTGAGAATTTTCCTAATAGGATGTCCTTCCAGTGGATCCTCTTCCACTGTGGCATTGAGGGAAATGAGAGGGCTGATATCTTGCTAAGAAGAGATCTTCTGCTCTTCAGAAACTCCATGTGAAATTGTGATTCCATTCAGCTAAACTGAAAATAGCTAGATTTCCAGGTGCTTTCTTCATGATACAGCTTTTAAAAACCATTTTACATTTACATCATCTTTTGAATGGCAGACCTTGGAATGTACTCTTTTCTAGACTACAACTTGTTCCTATCTCGTGCAGCTGCAGTTGCAACGTTTAGAAGTTAACTGGACGTGATTGCTTCCATGCTCATATTTTTTGTTTTAACATTGTGGCCTCTCCTATGTGTTCTCTTTGTACGACTGGGAAAGATATGACTGCCTTGCATTTCGAGAAGTGCTCTGCACTATCTGCTTTTTGTTGTCATGTGGTGAGATATTGGAGAGCCCATCGTCTAATGGCCTAGGCCAAACAACAGGGGTTTGGTAAATAAACAAATGTTAATTGAAAGGATTTTTATTACTGCTTAATAAGTAGGTACATCATACAATTATTTTTTTATATAGCTTGTGATTTGTACTTGGGATGCAACTCATAAATGTGACAACTGATGTCTGAAGCAACTCATTAAATGTTTTATAGTAAGGAGTGCAAAGTTTTTAAAGTATCCCATTCTTTCTTTTTTTTGGGTCAATCTCAATTACAAAATCAGACCATTCCTGTATCTTTTTTAAATATTAATTTAACTTCTTGTATGTTAAAGGCTCTTTATCTTCTCAATATCTCTGTTTTCAATGTTATTTGGTGTTATAAGGTCATCCAGTTCTTCATTTGTCATTTGATGATAATCATCCTTGACTAATTCTTTGAATTTTCCTTCTGTCTGAAAATCCTTCCGCACCTATTGCTTCTGCAATCTGTAAGATTTCTGTGGCTTCATTTTCAATTAGTGGAAAATCCTTAACATTGAACATTGTTGAAAGCTTCTGGCCAGCACTGATGACAGCAAGCATTCATTTTCGATGAATTCACTTATCCTCATGTGAGTTTATTCATTTTTATCATTATGCTGTGTCTTATGCTGAATTGCTTCCCAAATGCCATTAGTGTGTCATGCTTTCTCACATCTAGTACTTTATTTGCAGAGATTTAAACATGCCTGGCATAATAGGCTTTGAATGCTTTTATGATGCCTCGATCCGTTGGTTAGATTAAGGAAGTGGTATTTGGTGGAAGGAATAAAACCTCTACATGTTGTGAGAGCAATGTTGCGAAAGCTTCAGTGCCATGTCACATTATCAATAATTAAGAAAACTTTAAAGCTGAAGTTTTGCTGTACTGAGTAATGTTTGATTTCTTTGATGAAAGAATTTCAAACCAGTCATTAACCTTCCAGCACTCGTGCTATGCACAAAGTTTACGACAAATTCGGTTTTTAATGCACACTTTTTGCATATCGCAGCTGAGACATCTGAATGTCATTTCTATTCTTCCTTTCAACCCTTCCCCACATCACTGAATGTGCCAACAGGAAGTCGTATGAATTTTTTGTTTTTTTACTGGGCTTTTGTGCTACATGGTGGCTCCGTCGTAAGAGTTACGACGTGCACGTGGTCACGAGTGAAAATTCGGAAAATATTTTTTTTGTCAAATATTTTGTAATTTTGTGTTATTAATTGAAGTATATTATTTTATTTTGTATAAATTCGACTCTTTAATTTTTATATTGTTTTTCATCGCAAATGATTATGTGCAACCAGCTGATTTTGCTCGCATTCTTCAAGAATTATCTGATGAAGAAAAAGAAGACAAGGAAATCTTTGGATGTGAGAATAATAGCAATCTGAGTAAGAAAAATATAGAGATAAATAATATCAGCACTGAATCTGAACAATGAATTTCGGATGATGATATTAATAATGATGTAGAAAAAAGAAATGATGATGATATATTTTTGTTAGTGAGGATAAATCTTCTAAGTGGCAAAAACAGAAGTATGCAAACTGCTCAAAGACGAATAAGATGAATATCTTGAGCGTTACCTGGCCTAAAACACCATGTCAATGATATAAAGGATGAAATGGGAACATTTTTTAAAATAGTTGATATAAATATGCTTGATGAAATTTTGGAATGAAAAAGTAAATATATAAGTTTACTAAAAGGCAAAAATACTCATGAGATAGAGACTGCTTTGTTACCTGAGTGAAAACAATGGCCTATTTTGAATTGCTATATATGATAGGAATAAAAAAAGGACACCATGCAAATGCAAACAGACTTATTCACAAGTGATGGCATTTTAGTTTAGCTTATACCGCCCGTTATACATTAAATGTGCATGCGTAAACATATTATGCGCATGCGTAAGCTGCTACGCATGCACATAATACGTTTGTAGCTACGCAGAAAGTTTGTAGCTTTGAGGTCCAGATTATAGATCATTCCGGATTATGGACATCCCGATTAAAGTCTTTGTTTCGTAATAAGAGCTCTGATGAGCTGCAAGAGATCTTTATTTCTGACAAGTTGTCTTTGATTCGGTGATAAATCAACAAGACAGGACAGATGAATATTAAAACTAGCTTAGGTTTTAAAATATAGTTATTAAATAATAAATTTTTAAATTTCTATAATAAAATACATCATTGCTTTACCACCTGACTAATATAAGTGTTTAAAATAATTTACTATCATTTAAACGTGACATCATTTGTATTTTTCAATAATAAGGGAAATATTTTATGTTTTAACAAATTTATTATCAATATTCACTCATTTCTGTCATTTTTCGTGCCAAAAATGGTAAAATAACAGATGTCTTATAGAATACGATGCACATGTGCTCATGTAAAATTGCTAAGCATGCGTGCTGGAAGGTTAAAGAGGTCTGTTGCAATGCAGCTGACACTCTGCAGCGTACCATGTGTAATCAAAATTTTCCCATTGGGCAAATTAAATGGAGACAGTCAAGATAAATCATATAAGCAAATCATGTTCATCATTTGGCAAGGATTTACTGTACTGAGTTATTTAGCCATGCTACTTAGTGATCTCTGAATTATAGAGCTGAAGAGATGTTAACATTTTGTAAACTCCAAATCACGCATGTCAAATTTGGCACCTCAAGTAAGCTAAGTTATCAGTGCCCACGAAGAAAAAAAAGCATTTTCATGCATAATGGTGTATTTAAAAGGTGAATAAATACATAAAATATTACTTAACACTGTAGTTCTTTAAAAATTAAAGGAGTATAAGAAAATTCGATTAGCAGATGAGTACTTATGATTTCTCTTCCAACACCTGCATCTTTTTCCTGCAACTAGCTTTTGAATGTCTGAAGACATGTTTCTAGCACCAGTAATTTTCAAACCAAAGCATAGATGAATATCTTTTAAATTGGATATCGCTGGAGACTTATTCCTTTTCATAAGTATCAAAAGTTGCGGATACTGATAAGTACTTCCAAATATAGAAATCCTAATATGAGGCAAATTTATACTTTCCTGGGACCTGTGCTGGCAAGACTTTGTAAAATTTGGGAATAGCCACTTCACTGAAGTTCTGCTTTAATGTTGACTTGAACTGAATTTCTATTAATTCTGCCTGTAAATAGGGCTGACTCTTTCTCAGAGCTGGTTGAAAAAAGAGCGGGAAATCAGGGAGAGCTCATTTTCTAAAGATCTGATATTGTAAAACCTTTCTTTGAACTCAGCCTTCAAATGCTGAAGCATCTCAGCACACGCTTTGTACGAAACAGGCTCCCTTTTGTTATTTTTCGATAACCCTAGCTGTTAGTTATGTTTTTGAAGTGAGTGGAGGACCACAGAAAAAGAAGTCAACCATATGCAGCCTGCAAGCTGCATATGGTTATATGTATATTTGCATTGATATGCCTGTTGTAAATGGATAAAATTATCAAAAAATAATTTTGCATAGTTCAATTCAAATGTTTTCCTCAAAGAAGAATTGAGATGCAAATTAAAATGTTATGTGTATTTGATTGCATCAGTAAAGAGAGAAGTATGTATTATAGTTAGGGTTGTAATTTTGTTTCTGGAAGAAAAGACAAAATTTGTACACATTTGCAGGTTAAATTATAAAATTTCATGGCATAGAATTTACACTAGTGATTTCATGGGAAATTTTCAGCTTATGATTTGCATTAAATTTAAATCAGATTATTTTAAAATTCAAAGTTTTATTAGATTAATTGCACTACATATGCTTAATATAAATTATCTAATTTTGTTCATTGATTTCCTTAGTGCTCAGTTTGTGCTTTGCTTTCTTAGTATATTTTCAGGACTTTACTTTTAGGTCTGGCTAGTGTTTTCAGTCTTACATTTATTTTGCTATGTTGAAGAGTTTTATTTTCAAACATTTTGCTAGAGTTTTTATTTTTTCTTCGTACTGCATTTTTTTCGTTTTTTCTATTTTGAATGTGTTTTGTTTAATTTTGACTATGTACTATTTTTCTTTCTATCCTGAGGTTGGGCTGTTTGTGTACAATTTAATTTGGTTTTTCCTTAATTAAAAATTGTTTTGAATATTAAGGATTTCTCTGAATTATGCATCAGTTGGCTCTTTTGAGTCCTTTGCCATAGTCAAATAAACCAATAAACCAGCATCAGTTGCTTCAGAAATAGGCCAGTTTTTTTTTTTTTTTTTTTAAACATTCTTTGTGACACCAACCCTGATGAATATTTTAATCAGATTTATTTCGAATTCAAAGTTTTTTTAAAGGTGAGCCTGGGAGACGTAAAATCATGTAATGTGTAATTTTTAAAAAGTTTTTTGATTGATCACATTTTTGTAATTTTTGGTGCAGTGTGGTTTTCATTGTTTTGATTGCATTTCCTTTTTGTTCTGTTTTTCTATTGGAGTATATTTACCTATACTGCTCTCGGTACCAATATTTTAACTTTAACACAAAGTTATGCTTTCAGTTGTAATTTTATTTTTAATCTTACCACAATGTTATCTAATTTTTTTAAATTCCATTTTTAGCAATTTTATACAATGTTTGTTTTACACTATTATGAATGAATTTCATTTTGTTTATACTTTGCTGTATTCGAATATGAGTTTTGAACTTTTTAAAATTATTACCCCCAATTATCAGCAGTTTTCAGTGCATACTTAGCTTCTAATTTATTACAACGCCTTGTTTTCTACTTTTATTATGCATGTATATTAATTCTTTGCAATAGATATAACTTAAAATTCTTTTATTTTGATCCAAATGTTTATTTTTATGCTTTCTGGGGATAGCATAGTATCTAATATATCGTTCTAAGTAAAATAATTACTGAACTTTCCTTAAGTACTACTTCTTTTATATAACTTTTTTTTTTGATTGGAAATGCTTTGCTAAGATTATGAAGTGCCAGAAATTTTTAAAACACTTGCTCTAATATAGCAGTCTGAGCTTTGTAATCAAATTGTATATAATAAATAAGTGAATAAATATTTTAACTAGTTTGTCATATATAGTAAATAACGTTTTATGTAATAATATATAAAATCAACATTTTAACAATTTAACTCCCAGAATTGTAGATATGTTTTACAAATGGGTCTTATTTTAATATATAATCACTTTCTAAAAATGCTATTTAAACAGTAGGATAATGTATCATAGGCAATTCTATTTTTTAAAGGAAAGTGTGATATATTATATTATATTGAATTTCTATGTTGGGAATTGTACTTTATCTGTGCTAGACCAAAAATATTAATTTTCTGTTGATATCTTAAATTAATTAGCATAAAATAATAATTTTGATGTCTTTTTTGTCATTATTTTTCAGAAAGTCCTTGGAAAGGCTGATCTGGTAATAGTGTTTTACATTATTATAATCATCAATCAATTTTAAAATAATTTTCATTTTAGATTTGGCGTTCAAAAGATTATATGCATCATGGAAGTATTACTCATGTTGAATTTAATACCAGAGATGAAAATGTGTTTGCAACTGCTTCTGATGACAAATTTGTTAAATTGTGGGATATGCGTATGGTTGCGAATATTGGAACCAAGTTAAAACCTGTTCATGTATTTCCTCATTTGGAACCTGTAAATTCTGGTGTGTATGCTTACTAAATGAACTATGCACAACTTTGAAAATCATAAGTATTATTAACTATCAAAAGTATTATTTATTTGATCAAAATCAGCAAGTCTTTCTATTAAATATTATTTAATTGATTACAAATTTCTGATAATATGAAAATTGTTTAATTTTTTAAGAGTTTTTGCACATTATTTTCACAGACACTATAATATTATGTTTCTGTATAAATGTGTGCATATCAGTTAGTTAAATTACCAGTAATTCTTCCTGTCACATTAAAAGCTACTCAAATTATTATTTGTGGAATATTTAAAAAAAATATTTTAATGTGTTCCCCCTTTTCCATTTTTTTTAAAAATTAAATTAGATGACTGCTAGATTGATATACAAGTACGTAATAAAAACCAAAAAATCATGGAAGTACAGTTGATATGCTATATACATAACTGATATACTGAATTAGAGGTGTGCAACCTTAAGGCCAGTTTACATCTGTCAAAGCTGCTCGTAGCGAGCCGCTCATCCGGGCGTTTCGAACCGAGTGACAGACCTGTACCCTGATAGATTGTTTACACCAATCAGAGTGGACTGACAACTTGCTCTGTTGTTTCGAATGGATACCGACATCGCAGCTGCAGGAAAGAATGCTTGAACATACATAGATGTCTTAGCTCAGTGCTTGAGTCTGTGAGCAGTTTCAAATGAATTAATTTCTCTCTTGAGGAAAAAAAAAAAAAAAGAAGAAGAAGAAGAAAAAAATGGTACGTCATTGGGTAGTTTGCCGCGATGAATTAGGAGTATCAATGAACTTAAGTGAATTTCGGACGAGAATGCCAAAGTTACAAAAACGTTATTGCATATCAGATACAAGAATTTAAAAGAAAACTCAGTTTGAGAGAAGTATTTAGTCAACTGTGGTTACTGAAAGTCAAATTAACAAAGTTTTTCTACTATATACAAACTGTTTATTTACACTATTAATCATTTACAAAATAATGTAAAAGTAATAATGTGTTTTATTATTTATTATAGAAAGAATATATTATTCATCAGAATCCACAGATCAGTAGCTCTCTGTGCATGAATTAATTATGCAGAGTTCTGACTGGAACTGTGTTATTTCTAGAGAAGAATGCAAAATTAAACACATGGAATATTTATTCAAAGCTACATTAACACGACAGAAAGTAAACTGTATGATATCTACCTAATTATTCAGAAAATCTTAAATAAAATAAGAAGTAGCAAAAAACTTGGGAGCATTACATATATTACCACAGGTAAAAGAATATATATATTATGACATAATTCCAAGAGAAAGATATTTATCGCAAATTGTTACTTTTGGATCCTACTGAAATTGTGTTTCTGGACAACACACAAAGTGATATCAACAAAATTAATAATGGGTAAATATAGTAATTATACTTTACTTTTAAAATGCTAAAACGGATAGTTTAAGGAAATTAGAATTCATCTAGCATAATTTGTATAAACCTTAATACACCTTCAGTACTTGCACTCACACATCCAAGCTGAACATGTTTCACATCCAAGTTGAATTGTAATGAATTATAGCCCCGAATGTTTTTATACAAAGCAAGAAATTTAAATATCCCCAATAAAACAGATCTACATATCTTTTTCATAATTTTTTTTTTAATTTTTATAGTTTATCATATATTTATTGCATCTCTCATGTAGGGATGCTTGTAGAAAAATGAATATAAGCTCACATAATTATAGAAGTAAAACACTTCATAAGATGCGTATGCATTAAAAATGCCATGGTTTGGCTATTGCTTAATCTTGGATTATAGAACTCACTGTCACGACGTCCCCGCGAACGCTGCTCGGAGTAACTGCCCGGAGAGATTTTTCAACAGGTTCAAAGTAGAAACGGAAGCGCTGACTCATCTCCCCTACGTTTGTACTCCGTCGAAGTGAGCGTTTACATTGTCAAAGTAATCGTAAGGAGCGACTCGCTCAGAGCCGCTCTGACAGGTGTAAACTGTCAGAGCAGCTCGGATCACATCCAAACCTGACCTTTAATCACATCCAAACCTGACATCCATTTCAGAGTAGTGGTTCATTCATTACAGTTGTATGTCATGAGCTATTTGAATGTTTTATAATAATTGATTTCAGAGCAGCATGAACTAATTTTTGTCAGGTCATGTAGTAGGAGAGTTAATCTGAAACTGAATTTTCCAGGTTTAAGTAGTTTATATTGTATTGATGGCATTTCTACAAGTCTAAATGAGTAAATGTGTGCACCACTTGCAAGTGATGTGGTGAAAGTAGCTCATAAGTTTGTTGTGAAATGTAATGACTTAAATGGGCTGCACTGCATGAAATCTTGGATTGTCTGTTACTATTTATCATCCACTGAATTTAGTATCTAAAGTCTCTGTTGTTTTGCATACTACTTATGGAATGCAATAAGTGGAATGGCCCAAAAGCCTTTAGAGTTAAGTGGCATGATCATGTGAATCAAGTTTCCAGTTATTTCTTGTTGATACACAGGGTAGAGTAGAGAAGATCATATGAAGCCATGAAACTCTTCTCTGTGAGGCTTTCTTCAAGCTGAAGTGACTGGTGCAGTGAAAGCATGTTTATATGGCTTGCATTGGGCTTTTCGGTGTATATTGAAGCTGTATATAGCCGTATGATGGGTGATAGGCAAAAAAAAAAAAAAAGCTTAGGAGATCACATATGCATCTTCATGAATCATGCTGAGTATTTCAACAATATCATGCAGTATGTCGCCAGTCTTTAGTTCTCAGAAATTTTGCATCACTGTCCAGTATATACAGTCAAAAGTCTTTAATCCAGACTCGTCGGGACTTCGGCGATTCCGCATTATCTGTTTTTCTGGATTATAGATCATTAGTTTAAATCCGGTAAGATGGCATGCAGAAATTATAAAATTAAAAATATGAAACCATAATTTATGAAATAAAGAGCAATTATAATCTAAAGGGTATCAAAATTTACAAAAAATTTTATTTGTAAATATTTATTTGTTTACTTTATTAAACATTTCTTTCAACGCGCGCATGCGTAAAGCATACATTATGCATAGTCGAAATTAGAACATTGCAACTAGAAAACTATATGATGTGTATTCGTGATATTTATAATGACGAGGAATTTGATTTAAATCATATTAAAGGACTACATCGAGATAAAATACTACATTTAGTAAGGAATTATAAACCGAATAAAATAAAAACATCTGCTCTGAAGATAAGGATAGTGCTGACAGATCAACTTCCAGTTCATGGTGAGCCACGACGCCCCCCCCCCCTGCAGAGCAGCGTGACATTGATAAACAGATTTTGGAATGGTTAGAGAATCGAAGGATATGCCTTTATCCAATTTTGCAGCAATTCCACTTTTTGTTTGATGGACATCGAAACATTCTTTCGCTTTGTAAATCCTTTGGTAGTTCCAGTCTCGGAAATTCTTTTTGACATAATCGAAAGTTCAAGCTTACTTTTATAAAATTGCTCTAACAGTCTGCAAAAAATAATAAGCCGGATTCAATTAGAAGATTAACGAACAACACAATCTGCAACATTAACTGAAATAGATAATTAGATAATTTTAGCTTAGCTCATACCATCTGTTATACATTAAACGCGCATGCATAAACGTATTATGCACATGCGTAAAGGTATTATGTGCATGCATTAACGCATTATGCATTGACTCGTGCAGAAATTTTGTAGCTTTGAGGTCCACATTATAGATCATTCCGGATTATGGATGTCCAAATTAAAGACTTTTGACTGTATGAGTTATGATTTATACTTCAAAATTTATGGATAACTTTACCTGTTTGACAGAATAACCTTTAATTGATTTCTGTCTTCAAAGTGTGTTTTTAACCTGAGAGCAGATAGAGGATTTATCTGTTACAGTAGAATTCCAGAAATCTGCAAAGCTTGGGACCAGAAGTTGTGCGGATTTTAGGATTTTGCGAATTTTAGGAGAGAAAAGATAAAGCATAATATTCGGACTAAAAAGCGAAAAAATGATAAGGCGTATTGATACAATAAATAAATTAAATTATATACATTATTGCAAAACTTTATATATGCATTAATATTTTTAATATATAAATTGATTATATAAATCATTGTATTATATGTACACAATATCGAGGTTTGCTGATTTTTGCTTCATGCAAAGATCCGGTGTTAGAATCACTGTTGCTTGTAAAAATTTCAACAGCTTTTCTTATTTTCTGATATCATACACAATCGTGTTGCATTCCATAGCATTCTGCTAAAATCGAGGAGTACACTGCTTCCATCTTTTGCAGAATTTGCACTTTTTGCGTTACCGTCAATGCACGGTTTACATTTTTCAACGTTGCAAGCCATAAAATCATGAGTGAGTTTCTTATCTTTCATGGTATTAAAAAGGGCTGAAATTTAAAATATTCTTAATTTATCCAAAAAATATCCAGATAAAAAAAAAGGCAGCACTAAACAATCTCGTGAAAGGAAATAATATTTTATGTCAATAATTTGGTATTTTCGTTTTGACTTATTATTATTTTGTAATTATGACGTCATTATTCAGTAAGTATTTTTTCTTCAATATTTCGTACTCAATGTTGCGGTTTCTGGAACCTATAAACTTAATGTTTATAATTTGAGAGGCAACGCGGATTTCAGGTCGGCCAATTTTTGGTATTTGACTGTATTATATACTTATCTAGTGATTTTTGGCCTGTCAGTTTTAACCTTTTCACGACGGGGCACCTTTGTTTAAGACGCTCATGCGGGACGAAAGGGATTCGAAGGCAGTCACCATACATTACGTTGCATCGCTAAGCCTAATTTTATAAAAAAATTCAGAAAAAAAAGTTTCACTTCACAATTTATAGCATCGTAATTTTTCGTATCATTTTAGATTATTATTTGAGCTCTTATATATGTTAAAATTAGCACTTAATAACATTCTTTTCTTTATTTTACATGAAAATATACTTAAAAAATTGCTTATCTTGTAAAATAATTTTCGGAAGCGCTATTCAAATTATTCCAAAGTTTTAATTGATAAAATCCATCAATAAAGTTTTAAATTAATAAAACAACACAATAAAGACTATTTACAGTAAGTAGTAACAAAATGTAAAATGAAGACTGCGGTAAATCTCGAAGCACGGAGAAGTATCACTTTCTAACATTTTAGAAAATGAATCATCACTCTCATCTGTGTTAATAAATGGTTCATTGACCATACGAGGGTATTCTTCTTCTAATAAATAGAGCCTTTTCGCCATAATAGACTGGAGGTGAGTCTTTCCGAAATAAAAAAGAGAAGAACGGGAAATATATCTGAAGGGCAATGCAAAACATAACAGTACTTCACATACTAATCCTAAAAGCCTGTACATAGTAAAGGAAAAAACAGAATAAAAAAAGGAATTGGATATAAATCAGACACGCGAATGTTTTCACTAGCACGCAGCAATTTAAAGAGCTCACCTCTGTTTACACTTTCCCTCCCCCCTTGCAAGAGCTAATGAGTAATATACCAAAGTCAAGCAGAATATATCAAACTCAAGATCAGGAACTTAAAACTGTGTTCATTTCAAAAGTAAGGGACATAGGATGCCATCTAGTGGCCTTCAGAAAAACGTTCCAGCTTAATAATGCGTATATGCAACACTTGTCCTCTGAATGCAACCTCTAGCGATGGGTGGATGGGACGCCTGGCTGTAAGAGACGTTCTTAGGGAAAGTGTATATGGGACGTCCATCCTGAAAGGGTTAAATAACAGGAGTCTGTGTAGGCTAGGTATTGGTTTCTGTAGTCAATTAAAAGTAAAGTAAAATAAAACTTATAATTTTTTAAATCATAATTACTTCATTTGTTAATAAAATCAAAAATCGAGAATCAGTCAAAAATTTGGAAATTTTGTAATACAAAACGAAAAAGTTTTTTTTAATCAGCTACTTTTTAAAATTTAATTGTGGAACTTTGTTTTTGAGGAGATAATCATTATCACATTTAGAAGCATATTTTAATCAAGGATGTGCATTTAACATAATAGCAAATGTAAATAATTGCCTTTTTAAATTCTGAGTTATGAAAATGTTATGCAAATTTTCCCCTTGAGAATGGTAGAAAATTACTTTTTCGGGGGGGGGGTGGAATAATGCGTTTCATCTATTTGACCTTTTGTACTGCTTAACTTTGTTGAAAAAAATTTTAATATGAAAAAGTTATACCTAGGAATGTTGATAGTAATTTCATCAAAAAAAAAAAAAAAAAAAAATCGTGAGGAAAAAAATTGTATGAGATAAAGTAAAATAAATATTTAAATTAGGAATTTCTTAAGTAGAGTTTTGTTATATTTGGCTAGATGCATTTTGTAACTATGATTCGCCACTTGTTCTGGTATGTCATATGAAGGACAATGTAACTCAGTATTTTGCATGAAAGTTGGATAGGAAATACCTGAATACTGATGCTTTTAGTTTTTTAATGCTTTTTCATTTTTATGTTAACTGTAAATCAGTGATAAAAGAGAGAACTATTATATATTAAAGTTTATCTGTAATATATCATAAATTAGGATTTCTTTTTCCTTTGTAAGTGCTAGATTATAATTAAAAATTATAATATGATTCAAAATTATAATTATGGCTTAACTCATTAAATGGTTTCAATACTGGATAACATGTACAGTTTATTCTACAATAGATCATGTGTTCTGGTTATAATTTGTAAAATTTATCTTTATGCTTTGCATTTTATAAAATAAATTGTTAATTGTATATATTGAATTACAAGTGATTTCAGTTAATATAATATTTATTAATTACTTAGAATTGATGTATTTCAGAATATAATTTGTAAATTTGATTCATTACTACTATTATGCATTGTAGCTTGCTTCAGTCCATCAAATGGCCTATCACTTTTAACAACTGATCAGCATAGTCAACTTCATATATATTCCGGGCCTTGCTGGCAAGAACATCTTATAATACAGCATCCTCATCGTCAGTATGAACATTTGACTCCTGTAAAAGTAAATAAATTATTATTTTATAGTTATGTAAACTGTCTTAGAATGTTTTTGAGTTGTATTTGAATTCTGTAAAAGTTACTAGTTTGAACAGTGTTCCTGGTTAAGCTGCAGGTCATGTACTGCTTTCCATAAAACAAACCTAGGTAATTTATTTTCTACATACTCAGCCATATACAATATATCTATCTCTCTGTATCTATAATGGGGTTGGACAACTCCTCGATCGGGATATGCTTTTGTCATTCTTCCCAAAAAAGGTAATTTCACATGCACAAACTTGGGCAACTTGATGTAGCAACTTCTTGATGATATGATATTGCAGACATTTAGTCTTTTGTCAGAAATTATTGTACTGTGCAACAATTAAAAAAATTAGAATATTGAATATGCTTATCTAAAAAGGAGTCTAAATTTTTTTTAAAAAAATAGTTTGATATTCTTCTCAGATAAAAAAAAAAAAATACATAAATTCTAAAATTTTGAAGAATAAAATTGTTTATTTATTTCCGTTATGTTAATTGTTAAAAAATTGCAATATACAGAAAACAAAAATGGGAAAAAGTTTTTTTTGAACTAACTGTTCTGTTTGTTTTCAAGTATTATTAACAGTGAGAGCACTGTCATGAGAAAATAAAGTTCCCATGCTTATGCCTGGTCTGCAATGCCAGGGTGCTAGTGGTTATTTAAAAAAAAATAAATAAATAAAAATAAAAAAATGCTTTTTTATTGTTTTGTTTCAAAATAATAAAAATGCAAGATTGCTGCTTCAAAGAAAATGCATTTAAACATTTACCATGTGATTGATTTTAAGAAAAATAAATTTTAATATATATATATATATATATATAGTTTTTTTTTTTTTTTTTTTAATTGCTGTCATATACTCATCTCTAGAATCCCCCCCCCCTTTTTTTTTTTTTTTTTTTTTATAGAAAGATAAAATATTGAAGAATTTTCTAGAAAGTAAATTTACGTGAAAAGAGAAAACCTGTAAAGAGAAACCATGACTTGGCTTTAAGCCGATTACACATTTAACTTAAAACTTGTTATAAATGCTGTACAAACGCAGGTTTTTTTTTTTTTTTTTTTTTTTTGTTTTGTTTTGTTTGTTTACAACTGTTATAGCAAGCCTTTCTTTCAACTGCTGTAAATTTATAGTTTATCTTAAATATGTGAAAGTATATGTTTGGATTTCATGGCAGTTTTGTATGAGAGCTTCAGCTTTACACAACCAAAGGCAGCCAAAAAAGAAACAAAAGTCTGAATTACAAATCTACAAATATTTGAATATTTATATCAGTTGCCTTTTATATGTGAGTAATAACTTTGAATTACAGAACAGAGAAGCACATGATCTAGAAAGGTATTGTGGTGTAGTGGCTGAAACCGCTATGCAAACCCTGAGTTGTGACATCAGGTTGAAAACAAAACACAGCATAATAAAATTTATTGAATGCTAAAAAAAAAAAAAAAAAATGGCTACATACAATTCTGCAGAGAAAAACCTATCTATTTCAAAAATCAAATTCTATACATTTTATGTGCGAGAGCAATTCGTGGCTCTCGAGCTTGCATTTTTAACATTGCCAACGATTTAATTATTTTAATAAAGACTATTTTAACAACTATTGAAAACGTGTTTGTAAGTTAAAAAATAATAATTTTCAGCTTATTCTCACGAGACATCCTTGTCCATATTAATCTTCAGTCTCTTCTTCTTTCATGTGACCTTATCACAACTCCTCCCCTCATAAAGAAATTTTTCTTGACTATGGAAGGAAAAATTCTAAATACATTTCACTGCTTTCAAAACACAAGTGGTAACCATTTAAGTGATAATAGAGAAGCCAGTTACATTACCCTGCACTTATTTCTAGATAACATAACCGCACAAATACAACAAACATAAAAATAAATTTAAACTACTCCTAATGTGTGCCTTATACAAAGCATATTCCTCAAAATTTTACACAATGCTAATAAAACATTTAAGATTTAATTCATTAACATTTAATTCTAACAATTTTTTTGAAAATGAAACACACAATGCAAACAATTTTGAATCTACACAAAGTGGTTATAATTCCAAAACTCTATTTTCAAAAATCATTAATTTTCAGTACCAAGGAAACATTTTCATTACTTTTTACCTTACTTTGTATCCACTAGTGATATTCAGTCACTAGACTAGGGCATGACTCAAGCCATCTGCATTACCGTGTAATTTGCCTGGCCTATGTACAATTTCAAAATGAACATTTTTGTTGTCAAAAGTTGTACTGTTGGAGACACAATGCCCAGCGAGTCAAACGAGAATTTGATCCCATCATTTTGTTTAAAAAAGTCAACGGATTATGATCCGTCTGGATCTTGAATTTTCTGTCCGTCTAAGTAATGACTTAGTTTCTTCAGTCCATAAATAATGGCCACTAGCTCTCTTTCAATGGTGCTATAATTTCGCTCCGCTTTTAAAAACCTTTTGCTAAGATACAGTATAGGGTGTTTCTCCCCATCTTGAATTTGAGATAACACAATACCTGCACCATATATGCTGGTATCTGTCTGCACAATAAATTATTCAGAATAATCTGGTGCAAATAAAACCGGATTTTTTACCAATTTGGCCTTAAGTTCGTTGAAAGCCACGTCACACTCTTTTGTTCAAATCACTTTTTTATTCTTTCCCTTTAAAGCGTCTATCAGAGGTACCGCAATACGTGGCGTAGTCTTTTATGTACCTTGCATAGTAGCCCACAGTACCAAGGTAGCTACGTATCTGTGTTTTAGTAGCGAGGATCAGAAAATCTCTGATTGCTTGAATCTTGGCCTCACTAGGCGACCTTTTCCCAGACCCTACTTCATGACCCAGAAATTTCACATGGTCTTGTGCGAATTTGCATTTTGAGAGCTTAACAGTCAATTTAGCCTCCTGAAGGCGACCTAAAACCACATCCAAATCCTTCATATGACTGTCTCAAGTCGGCGAAAAGACTGCGATGTCGTCAATATACAGTAAAACAAAATTGTCCAGCCCTCCTAAAACTTGAGCGATCAATTTACAAAAATAGAAAGGCACATTTAAAAGCCCAAACATCATTTTCTTCGGGATGAAAGATCCAAAAGGTGTCACAAATGCGGCATACCTCCATGCACGCTCTGTGAAGTATCCTTTGGTTAGATCCATGATTGTGATAAATGGAGCTGCGATGACTTTTTCTACCACTTCTTCAATATTGGGAAGAGGGAAAAATTCGGTCATAGTTTTTGAATTTAATTTTCTGTAGTCCATACAAGGACAAGGATCTTTACCTGGGACCTCTACTAAGATCATAGACGAAGCATAATCAGATTGCCCGACTTCTATGACTCCTAACTCAAGCACCGCCTAATTTCCTCTTTTAGGATGTCGGTTTGTCTTGCCGATATTCGGTAAGGCCTGACTCTAACCGGAGGTTCATTCAACAATTTAATATCCATTTCGACCAAAAACGTACAGCCGGGGTTGGACGAAAACACCGCTCCATACTTCCTTATAACTTCTTGGAATTTTCCTATTTCCTCTGCCAAAGCTCTTTCTTCTAGCTTACTATCTCCAACTATTTTCCAAAAATCTACCTGAGTTGGATCAGCCAAGGGATAAGGAATATCCACTTCTCCCTCAATATCTTCCATGACCTCCATCACAAGATTCACAAACTCGGGGCGCTGATAATAAGGTTTCATCAAATTTACGTGATAAATGCTGTCACTGCTACGCTTAACCCGGAATCTCTACCGTATAATTGGTTTCGGAAATCACACTAGTTACTTTACCTGGCGCTATCCAGTTCAGAGCCATTTTGTGTGGTTTAGATGTGGCTAAAACAAGCACGAGATCTCCGACCTTAAACCTTCTCGTAACAGCACAGCATTGCGATCATACCAGAGTTTCCTTTTACTCTGACACTTTTTCATCTTCTCTACAGCCAGCTCCTGACACTTCTTTAATCTGTTTATTAAGTCTAGAACATACTCGCCCACAGTGGGGTCTGAACTTTCTTTCTCTAGCCAGTTTTCATACACAATCGTTTGAGGCATTCTCAATTTTTTTCCATGTACTAACTCGCAGGGACTAAAACCTGTGCTCTCATGGCTAACAGTTCTGAGGGCGAACAAAGCACATGGCAAACATTCTTCCCAGTCCTTCCCGCTTTCCAAGCACAAAGCCTTCAATACCCTTTTCAAGGTGGAATGCAACCTTTCAATATAATTGCTTTGAGGGTGACACACAGAAGAATGATACACCTTAATTCTGAACTTGCTAAAAAACTCAGATGTAAGTTCACTGGTAAATGATCTACCCAAATCACACTGAATTTCCTTAGGGTAACCTGATCTAGAAAAGATTTGTATCAAGGCTTGAATCACACATTTAGAGTTTAAATTCTCTACAGGAATGGGATCTGGATATTTGGAAGCAACACAAATAGACGTAATTAAGTATTTATTTTCATGCGAACTAGGGATCAGAGGTCCTACTGCATCAGTATTTAATCTGCTAAACATTTCTGATATAACAGGCACAATCTTCATAGGGGCTTTCTTTTTATCCTTATTGTGACCTACACGCTGACAAATATCGCACATCCTCACAAATTTCTCAATTTCCTGGTAGCAATTAGGCCAGAAATAGTGTGTCAAAACTCTATCCTTGGGTTTTTGTTACCCCTAAATGACCAGAGATTTCCTCGTGGCATAACTTCAAGATCCCTTTCCTAAAAACGAGAGGCACACACAGCTGACACTTATCTTCCCCTTTTTTAGAACCTGCCACTCTGAATAGTCTTTCCTTGACTATTATAAAACTTTTTTCATTTTCACTTTCCCCTTTCTTCCACAGGGTCGCTAAACTAGCACAAGTTTTTTGTGCTTCCAAGAATTCTGCTGGCGAAACATCTGCAAGGATAGACCTTTCTTCTAAACTGATGTCTGCAATTTTAATTGCCTCCTCTGTATTACTG